TGGGGACATGGGGACAGGGAGAGCATCCGATACCTCGTACAGCACGGCATGGTGACACTGGGGACATGGGGACATGGGGACATGGGGACATGGGGACATGGGGACACACTCGGGACACACTGGGGACATGGGGACAGGGAGAGCATCCGATACCTCGTACAGCACGGCATGGTGACACTGGGGACATGGGGACATGGTGACACTGGGGACATGGGGACACTGGGGACACACTGGGGACATGGGGACACACTGGGGACATGGGGACACTGGGGACATGGTGACACTGGGGACACTGGGACATGGGGACATGGGGCCACACTGGGGACATGGCGACATGGGACATGGGAACATGGGACAGGGGACACGGGACAGGGGACACTGGGACATGGTGACAGAGACAGGGGGACAGGGACAGAGAGACAGGGACCCAGGGGACACCACGGGGACAGCATGGGGACACGTGGGAATGGCACAGGGATGGCGTGGGGACAGTGAGAGTGGCATGGGGACATCGGGCACCTCAGGCTGTCCCGCCTGCCCCAAGGAGCCCTCGGGGTGTCCCCAGGGGTCCTCGGGGTGTCCCCAGGGTCCTCGGGGTGTCCCCAGGGGTCCTCAGGGTGTCCCCAGGGGTCCCTGTGGGGTTCCAGGGGGTGCAGGGTGTCCCTGGGGTGTCCCTCAGGGTCCTTGAGGTGTCCTTGGGGTGTCCCCAGGGTCCTCGGGGTGTCCCCAGGGGTGTCCCCAGGGTCCCCAGGGTGTCCTCGGGGCGTCCCCAGGGTCCCCGGGGTGTCCCCAGTGGTCCCCGGGGTGTCCCTCAGGGTCCTTGAGGTGTCCTTGGGGTGTCCCCAGGGGTCCTGGTGAGGTTCCAGGGGGTGTCCCCAGGGGTGTCCCCAGGGTGTCCCCAGGGTTTTTGGGGTGTTCTCGGGGTGTCCCCAGGGTGTCCCCAGGGGTGTCCCCAGGGTTTTTGGGGTGTTCTCGGGGTGTCCCCAGGGTCCCCGTGGGGGTGGCGGGTGTCACCCGGGGCTGTCCCCGAGGTGCTGACCC